ATGATCACACTCAGTAGATTATAAGACTTTGTAATGATACCTTACAAGAGACCTTTTGCATGAAGCATATCCCAGTTATGTTACATTCACTTATTACTGTATTTTCTCTAAAACTATCCCAGTTACATTATATTGACTTATCAAGTTTTTATAAAACCATATAGACTGCACAACATCACAGAGGGGGATGGCGAAAAGAGAAGGAAAGGACAGGTTGCCCTAAAGGGGATGATCACCCGGACTGATATTGAATGGGGGACAGAAGAGCTAAGAAGTCAGGCCTGGGACCTCAAAGGTTTCCTTGGAGCCTAAATACCTTTGAGGATCTGGGTCTCAATGACTAGTTTAAAGCCAGATTCCACTACTGGAATGTGATTTTATTTGGAGGGTTTTCTAGCCTTCCTGGTTGTGGAGAAAAAAAATCAGTTTTTGTTTTTGTTCAATCTGAAACCGTATTTTTGTTTGTTTTTAGTTGGAATTTCCAGCGAAGTGGAAAAAATCCATTCTTTGCCCAGCTCTAACTGTGACCTCCCCTGCCCTTTCCGTGCTGCTCAGTGAGGGAGGTGGGATCAAGGTTAGATGGGAAGTGGATACTAGTGTGCAAACAGCTGAGAGACCCTGGTCTCTCTACACTTAAAACTTAGGTTGACCTAGATACCTTGCTCGGGTGTGAAAAATTCACACCCCTGAGAGATGTAGTGAAGCTGACCTCAGCCCCCTTGTAGACACCGCTTGGTTGACGAAAGAATTCGACAGTCTCTCCAGGAGTTGGATTTATAGTAGTGATGGGAAGAAAACCTTCTGTCTCGCTAGCAAGTCTCTACATTGCACCAGCGGATCTGCAGCCCTAAGTTAACCCAGTGTATCTGCTGTGATGTGAACCTGGGATCTCTGCCTCTGCAGATACAGGCGGCTACACTTTGAGCTAAAGAACCAGACTTGTGAACAGCAGCTACTGCAGGGGGACAGAGACCCTGAGTGTGGGATACAGACCCTTACACTTGGGAAAAGGCCGAAGAGACTGAACCAAAGTCGGGGTAAAAAGTAGCCAGTGGTTCTTGGAAACATCATTTGAAGCTGGGACTGGACGACACGGGATGGATCACTTGATAATTGCCTTGTTCTGGTCATTCCCTCTGAAGCAATTGCCACCAGCGACTGTGGGAAGACAGGACATTGAGCTAGATGGATCACTGGCCTGACCCCGTATGGCTGTTCTTATGAACTTTATTTTTTTGTTATGTTTTTGAGTACATCTGATCAAAATTACTTTGTCAGGAACATAAGTTATCCTGCTACTGCAGTTATTGGGTGCATAGAAATTGAGCCTGGCTTCTGGGCAAATGTACTGAGTTATGACATTTGGTCTGTAATAATGTGTATGTATTGTATCTAAATTCTGTTTCCATTTTTATAATATGGAGATTGAGTCCAGCCCCCTGCCTTCACAGCAGGATCAAGTACTGTCCTAGACAATACATGTGCTGTTTTGTCAGATGCTACTTAGTAGTTTGTGAATCCCCACCTTGTAGGGATATTAAAGATGGTACTAACAGTGATTCCCCTAAGTGACAGTGACCCCCCCCCATAATTTGTCCCCCACCGTTTAAAATCCAACAGTTTCACAAAGTACAAAAATCTCTTGGGTCTTCTGTTAAAACTTGTAAGCTACTGTCTGTAGAAACCATTGATTGTATCTGTCCTGTGAAAGATACTTTATTACTACGTAAAACTTACAAACAAGTTAACTGACTTTGTTCTTCAAGTGAACACTATGTTACCACCCCTGATACAAGGTAAACAAACGCTATAAGCCGTTAAGTGACTTTCACTTCATTGTAACAGCAACGGCTCCTAGGACAGACCCCCATCCTCTGTGATTAAAGGGCCGGGAGTCTCAAATGAATTAGCACACACCCTGAAAGTGGTGGAGACAGTAAATTAAAATATGGTTAAGATATGGAATGTATGTTGATGAATGCTTGATATACATGAATGGTTAGGGAGGTGCCAGCCTAGAAAGGGAGTATCCATCGGCCAAAAAATGTGTCAAGTGGACCAGCAGACAACCCCCGGAGGGTAAACTGGGATCCACCCCATCACCTGGAAGGATGAGAAACACAAACTTTGGACAGTTTGGAGCCACCAGGAATGTGTCCAGGAATGTGCCATCTGCTGATTGAGTCAGCAACAGCAGGATGAAACAGCTCCCATAGACTAACATAGGAACGAATTCCTATAAGAATGGACTCTCAAGACTGAGGATTTTGAGTCTCTGGTTC